AAGTTAATGATTTTGGGTCAAGGTTGGTCCTAAATGTTAATGATAATGTTTTAGTTTTGTGTTATTTAAGAAAAAGGTGGGACAAGCATATTTTTTGGCAGGACAAGTAATTTTACGATGGAAACCTATCCGAGGGCAAGTACTGACAATTTCTATTTGTCTACCCCTGTATGCATGACTCAATACTGGCAAAACAGCCACTACATGCATGTATATCTGGAGATATTGTACTGAGCATAAAATGTAAATCTACCGTGCATCAATTTGTTGATGAAAAAAATAAGAAACTATATATATACAGGTAATCTGGATATAGAGGTCAAGGGGAGATAAATCTGTAACACCTAAACTCTTCAATATAAAAACAAGCAGAGGCACATTAATTACTAAAATGATGTAGTACAGCATACTATTCTGATAGATATCAGCACAGCTAGCATACTATTCTGATAGATATCAGCACAGCTAGCATACTATTCTGATAGATATCAGCACAGCATACTATTCTAATAGATATCAGCACAGCTAGCATACTATTCTGATAGATATCAGCACAGCTAGCACACTATTCTGATAGATATCAGCACAGCATACTATTCTGATAGATATCAGCACAGCTAGCATACTATTCTGATAGATATCAGCACAACACACTATTTTGATAGATATCAGCACAGCACACTATTCTGATAGATATCAGCACAGCTAGCATACTATTCTGATAGATATCAGCACAGCATACTATTCTGATAGATATCAGCACAGCTAGCATACTATTCTGATAGATATCAGCACAGCTAGCATACTATTCTGATAGATATCAGCACAGCTAGCATACTATTCTGATAGATATCAGCACAGCTAGCATTCTATTCAGATAGATATCAGCACAGCTAGCACACTATTCTGATAGATATCAGCACAGCATACTATTTTGATAGATCTGAAGACATATTATCTACAGACTTACAAACTTATACCTGCATGGGTACGTACCTATCTTAGTCAAATAAACAAACAGAATTAATGGAATCAGGTATAAATATATCAAGAGATCTGCAAGCAGTGAAAATTTACTCACACAACTAAACAGACCATTGTACTCTTATATGGTGCATTTGCACCAAGAAGGACACAGTACCAAATTTATCAACAGACCTAGATGGCAATATACTGTACATGTACATAGATTGGCGTATTCAAAATTTAGTGTAATCACTGGGTATAGAGTTGTTGACGAAATCATGAATTAGCGCTATACATGTCTGTGCCGTATAGTGTATTTATGAATGATTTCTTAGCGGTATTAATGAATTAGTGCATTGTTGTCTGCGCCAAAGCCGCTAAAATATGAAGCCCGCTTTTTTAAGTACACATTTACAGTATACTCTGGCATATTGTTATGAATTAAGAAGTTTATATAACCACAGAACAGCAGGACAACATACATACACAGATAGAAAAAAAGTCACAGTACTTGAACCACACATTGTGATAACATTGCATGTTAAATATAAAGGTACCATGGACATTATATGTAAACCAATATGTTTATCGGCAGCTGATTGCAAAAGGCATTTACAACTTGCAAAAAGAGTACATGTATTTACTACCTTATTGAAGAACGAATCTCAGAAAAAAAATACTTGGATTTTTTTTTCAGAAAGGGTCAGTCCATTTTAATGTTTACTATTAAACTATATCCTCTGTCTGATACTTTTGGACTAAAGACAATAGAAAATAGCATAAAAAGTTAATTTAATTCAAGATTCTTTGTTTCTTTGATAATTAAATGAAAACATTGTAAATATTTGATTGATATTATATTCAACATAGAATTTGTTGCTCTTGAATTTCACATCAGATATATTCAAACTTGGCATTTTCTGGCCTGCACAAACATTCAAAATGATCCCCGTTTTTAAGGAAATACACTTCAACAAGTATTGAGCCATAGAGTTACTGACCGAGTGAACACAGGCAACTAATTATAATTCTAGACACTAGAAATAATAATGAGCTAAAACAGCAACTTACCCAGTAGTGTGACCAGGCATTTGGGACGGGTAATTTGTTACGAACTCGTGGCACAACCGACCTTGCCTATTACCCCTTCATTTAAACAGCTCAACTCCTTACTACCTCTTCAATGTAGCCATTGTAGCGCAACGGCAAAACATATCTGAATGTCGATGAGGCATGACCCATTTCAAAATTCCCTGCAATCCACCCACATACAAAAAAGACACACACACACCTCATCTTATTATGAAGTCATAACCGTTCTGGTCTAAATACATCTATTCTGTGTAAAAAAAAGGAAAAAAAGTTCCATATATAATAACCAATATTATTGACCAGCTAGAGGCCTCTTTATACCACTGCGTTCCGTCTACACGCATAACCAACATATACCCCACAGCTGTTGGACTTCCCGCTACAGCAGAAACAATAGACGTAGACTTTATACAGCCCTGTGCTCTGGGAGCTCCTATAGGGACCTAGATCTATCAATGTTTCAATAGCCTCCGAGATCACTGGGACTGCAGGGACCACTAATTATCAATCTTTCATAGCGGCACTCTGACGAGATCAGGGGGCAACTTTACAAACATCAAAGTGGACCATGATGTAAAAAAAAACAACAATGTGATATACTGATACATTTACAGAATAAAAGTTGGCTGATATGTTTCTGTAACATGAAATGATCCTATTTCTCCTCTGGAAGCTATATACATACTGTAATTTTTGTACTCATTTCAACTGATTCTTAGAGATATGTTTTTAAAATTTTCCTTACAGAATTACCATTAATTTAACAGATAAATATATGCATTCTGTATTTTGTTCATTTGTGACATCTCTTGCAAAGAAAGGTAATGTATTTTAGAAACGTCGGTACCATTTGTTCAATAAATACCAAGGGTAAGATATTCATCAATAATAATTAGCTATAGGCTAAAAACCAAAACAAAAAAAAACAAAAAAAAGAACTTCAAATCACAGATCAAACTTAACCACCAAATGCATACTTTTTCCTATGTAAATATCAAAATTGAAAATGACAGTACAAATTGACTAAATTTCTATTATTCAACATATAAATGTTAAACAAATTGATATGTATAGGCAGTTCATATTCCAATATTCTTTAATAACCTCTTTGATTTTCCAATTCCCTTTAATGGGCCCCATTTGGTAGCTTTTGTAAAGCTCTGACAATTCTTACCAATAGTTTAAACCTTTAAACCATTACACAAACATTGAAAATTCAGTCATAATTGTAACTCACTCAAAAGAAAAGAAAAAATCTATTATCTAAACATAGAGAAAAACTTGTACAAGCTTGATTGGGCTCAATTATTGATGAAAAGGGTTACCGGGGAAACAAGGTAACTTGTTTTAAGCAAACACAATTCAGTGTGTCCTGCTTCAATGATTTATTGAACCGATACTGTTACATGATTACCTAAACAAACTATTAAACACGGCTGCTGTTGATATCAATACAGCATCCTCACAATATTCATACATGCTCTGAGTTCAATAACAACTCAGTTGTTTTAAAGATGGAGAGGGGAAGGCTAAATTGACAGGGCTGTTTAAAAAAATTACGGTATGCTCAAGTTTCAACACACAATCAATTTTTTGACAACTGTTTAGACATGTTCATAATTTTTTTTTTCTTCTTCTTTCTGTCAATGCAAAATCAAAGGCTTTGTATATTACTTCAAACCTCACTGAACATTTACAATGCTGGCATGAAAAATTAATATTTTCTCCAGTAGAAAAATTATCTTTTTTCATGCCCCCAAAAATCCTTATCTTGTTTTGATTAGAAAAATCAAGATCAAGTTAATAATAAACTTTTTTTTCTGGTTTTGTATCAATTCACTTTTTGACAGGATGAGAAGGGAACTAATCCTTACAGTAACTATTCCTCCATGTATACAACTACATGTATATGCTACCAAAGGGAGATAAATCCAGTTAATCACTTGGTCACTTTACCATCAGGATTACCTCCAACAATAATGTTCTCATATATATGTGTACAATATTAAGGACAAGCTCTTATACTGTAAAACACAGAGCCAGTATGATACAATATCATATCTTCAAGAAAATACATGTAGCTTTCTTTCAGGTAAAAAAAAATCAGAAAGATGCAAACTTTATTCCAGTGATTATCAACAGGGACAATTTTACTTTATGTTTTCATTCAGATTCAAGTTTCTTAGGAGATGCAGGGAACAACTCAACTGCAGCAGACATAAATTAATGGAACTAAACATAATTCACAATTGCTGCAGAATTGTGACAATCTATAAACTTGTTTTGATGATCAAGTAAGCCCTTAGAGCTAAAGGCCAATGAAATAAGCAAACAGAATGACCCCTAATTCAATTTCCCACCTACCATCCAACAACAGATCACCCAAGCATTTGGAAATTCCCTGAACAAATAGTTAATTCATTATCCAGCCTCGAATCAATTTCCACCATTCGCCTCTCTGTATAACAAATGTATCAATCTACTGAATCAATACAAACACTCTAATGGGAAGAAAAAAGTGAAAGCTCAACAGCAATAGACTATATATCTTAGCATTGCCACTATCCCAGCAGTGAAATCCAGAAACACAAGCATCATATCTATATCAGAATCAGCAGTCCTCCTCTAGCTTGATTTTATAGCTATATCATTCTGTACTTTTGGTGCAATTATCTTGTTCAGGTCTCTGTTCAGAAATCTTCTCCTTCAAAAACAATTTGCAATTTTTCTTTCCTGCAATATACAGAGTCAAATGGGGAATCCAAGTAATAAAACCAAATAGGCTTTTCAGATTCTTGTTTCTTTGAGCCTAATCCAATATTAAGATGAGCTGAAAGAGACTTTGATTGCAAATTCAATTTCTTTAATATATAGATCTTATACAGACTGATGAAAATTTCAGACTTAAACTAGTAAGGGGACATAATCCATAGCCCTCTTACCTCAGCTTCACTGGATTGTCTCCTCTTGTTCTGTCCATTTTCTGGAGATGAAGACCTTTGGTGGGAACCCTCATCTTTGTTGCTATTTTTGGATGAGGACGATCTCTTTCCTGGGGACCTACTCCTATCGGAAAGTTTTCCTGGGGACCTGTTCCTTGGGGTTATTGATTCTCGGGGTTTTCTACAAGGTATTATGTAGTATGCCCTTTATAACATGTAAAAAGCTTCATATCTTCCCACAGAAATAATTCTGTTTATAAAATCAATACAATACTATGCAGTATAGCAAATCTATATTCAAACATGATAATATCCTTACTTGCTCTAAATTTTAGGCTTTTGTTTTTTAAAAAAAATGTTTTGTATTCCCAAATAAATTGATCTTAATCTGTCTAAGACTTAATTCACAAAATAATTCTTACTTGGTATAGTTTGAGCCCAATTAAAAAAAAAAAAAAAATATATATATATATATATATATTTATATACCTGATAAGCAATATACATGTAAAAAAAAAAAGGAAAACACTGAAATTATTTTTGAACCTATTTTCACAATTTAAAGTACTTATTCTGTATATTTTAACAAATGCCACCCAGCAAAAATTGTTGATTAATAAGTCAAATAAAACCATGCTGCATTCAGTGGTTAATTAGTCACAAGTTAATAAGATTATCATTCGTGGAGAGCAAGCACCTTGGACAGGTGTTAACATATAAATTTTTCACCCAAGTTAATTTTACAACATGGGTTAACACACTATGGTCTGATAAGTTACTGACTGAATTAATTATAGTGTACCCTTATATCCTCTCTTTTCAACACTACCACAAAAAGTCAGTGTGACCTAGCTAATAAAGCTAATTAATTTTCATACATGTGGGGCAGGTCAAGAGTCAATTGCATTTGGTAACCCTAAAACTCCCTGATGTTAAGGTGTTTTTTTAAAATGATAATAATAATATTAGGGATGGGTATCGGCAGAAATTTCGTATCGTGATATATCACAATTTTGTCCCCAAAAATATCATGATAAATCATGATAATTTTACACACAATTTTTACTACAAATTCAAATGAATTTCCATAATATTTCTTAAAAAAATATACTTTAAAAACATAACTTTACTTTTTGAATTTTTACTTATTTAATATAAAGCATTTTTAGATGCCATTGTTTAACTGCTTTCAACATTTTTTACACTTCCTGTAATTATCATTCAATAGTTTGAATAAATAAATGAATAATTTCCGGAATTTATAGTTATGTACCAAATATCGGTATTTTAGTCTCCATATCACGATACGTGTCACGCAATAAAAAAATCGCGATATACCGGTATACCGATAAAATCTCGCATCCCTCTTTTAAATTACCTAATCCATCACATAGCAAATGGCAAACATTTCCAAATGCATAAATGAGTTTATGATTTACAGTACCTATAAACCTTAAATGCACAATGAAGTTCAGCCTGGTGAATACAGAATCTCACTTCAAAATTCACAATCACTGCACTATTTTTTAAAGCCTTTAGTATTAAAAATCATCTTTATCAAGTTTTGTTTTGCTATTCCGATAAATTTTTAATGTACGTATCTAAATTTCATTCTATATAAAGCAAATTATCAATATATAATTCAAACAAACTTTGCCTCTTTGCCTTAATTCTGTACATGTGTAGGCAAAAATCAGCAAAAAAGTTAATTACTGCTTTTCCTACCAAACCAATAAAATGTGTGAAGTGTTTATCTATGTATCATAATGATCATAGGAAATTAACTTATTAAATCATAATATATATACATGTAGTAATGTCACTAATAGACCTGAACATGCACATATTTCATTTCAACAAACTAACTCATCTTGTACAATATCCATGCTAGTAAGCTCTCCCATGGATCAAAATATCAAACAAATAATATATGAACATTTCTGTTTAAAATCAATGTTAGTATATGTATTCAATACATGTAATAATTTGTTATAAATAATTCAAAATTCAACAAGGTGAACTGTTAAGTTCATCAAACCACAATATACCTGACTCCACTTCTCTATGTCAGAAGCCTGCAAAGTTCAAAGTAAATATTTTCTATTTAATTTGTATCTAATCAAAACTTACACCAAACTTAACTGTGATGAAAGACATATCAAGTTCTCAGAAAATTTTGGAGGAACAATTATCAGTTCCCCAATGCCGTCAGAACAGGGTGTGTGTAAGGTGTGACCCCCCCCCCCCACCCCTTAAAAAAAGCTGCTATATTTTGTTTATTTAATATGTGAAAAAATGACTTTCAGAATGCACAAGAACCCACTAAATGGTACCCCTTCATAAATATAAACAACTTGAGCTCAGTGGAGGCTTTACCTCTCCCAGATCCTCCACTGCACCCCCTTTCCAGAAACTGGAGATGGCCCTGCTGCAGCTGGCCTCAAGTCATAAAAAGGCAGTTGATAGTTTAAAAAAGTTAGATCCCTTTGCTGCCTTTGGAGAAAAAAAACTAGAATCCTCACACTGGCCTTTGTAACTTTCAGGTTTGTAACACTGTCAATTTGACTTAATAACAATCTTAGACTATTGATCTTGTGTATTTTAATTGATTGCCCCGTGATGGAGCTACCCATAAATTAAAAGAAAAAAATTTAGACACAGTGAATTTATCTCAACATGCCCAAATCTTTGACAGTGTCAAGAAGAGAAACATTATTAGTAGGAATGTCAAAATTTTTATTTTCCATAGTCGATTATTCAGTTGCATTATTCGAACAATAGTCGAATATTCGGAACATTTTCTAAAAATAAAATTTTATTTTAAACTTCACGGGTATATGACGTATTTGTAACTTAAAAACCGTTTTATATAAATCTATCTAAAAAGTAACCTCAAAATTAATGCAACGTAACGTGTGGATAGCATGATTATATGAAATAAATTTAGACACCTAATTCTCCATAATGTATAATTTCCCCATCAATCGAATTCATAAATCGGTCTAAACAGTCAATTTATGTTTAGTAAGCATTAATTAAAAATTGCCAGCCGATATTTAAAAAAAAATATTTATGAAATAAATAAAAACAGTTAGATACTATTCAATTGATTGCCCGGCTATCAAAATGTCCTTAAAATGTAAGCGGATTGTTTTAATAATTATCGAAGTGTCAAAACTTGTCACGGCTATAGTGTTCCTTCAATTTGAGTAATCCTAAAATAACAAAATATAATTGCTACAGGGTATAAGATCAAGCCCATTTAATAGTTTTCCAAACAAAGTCCAGTAATTTGATGGGTAATTTATTACAAAAACAACACAGGTAGTATCTGACATATAATTCCCGTGGTAGTAAAACACTTACAATTACTATACTTTCTATAAGTACATGGAAATTCAATAATTTTTTATTAAGGAAAATTTTCGACTGGCTCTGAGGAAAGACGGTTTCTCAATTTTAAGATGAGAATTCCATCTCGTTATATCACTTTTTTGTTGCATTTATACAATAATAATAATATTCGAATGTCGTTTCATTATTCGATCGTCGGTCCATTCGACTGATAGTCGAATAGTCGACTATTCGTTGACATCCCTAATTATTAGTTATCCAGGTTCAATCAAGGGTGTACAGGGATTTACCCTGGGTTGTATTCCATACACCCTTCGGCCTCAGGGTGTATGGAATACAACCCAAGGTAAATCCCCATAAACCCTTGATTGGACCTGGATAACAAATTTATTTCCTATTTTTTTACACAATTAAGCTGAGGAGTACCTATGTGTAAAACATATACAGCGTTCCGTGCAAGCTGTTTCTTGTAAACCGTGAAGCTTGTGCAAGTCATGAAGCCAGCCGCAGACAATGTTTGTTAGAGTCGAATGCTCAAAAGAAAAAATAAGTTTTTTACTAATAGAAGTTTGGAATTGTGATGATTGTTTTATTTATGTACTCTATTTATTTCAGTTTCTAATCATCTCTCCCTTTTGCTAGCGTGCAGAGAGAGAGATAGACAGTGCACTGTGACGTCACTTTTTTTTTTTTACAACCGGCTCAGGTCGGCTGTACGGAAATTTACACCCGACTTTGTAACCAATCAAAGCTCGTGTCACAAGCTACATAGGAAATAATGATTTTTCCCATTGACCTTTTGATTGACCAAGCAGAGGTAAACAACTTTTGCAAAGTGTGGATTGGACTGTATTAAAGCATACTGACACTTGTGAATGACACATACAGAAACAATATTTGCCAATTTATGCTGTGTAAAAATTCATAAAAGGGGTCTCTTATTTTATTAAAATTGAAAACAACAAGGGACTGGCTCTCACAAAACTGTATCTGTGCTCATTAGGATAAATATCCATTCTATGACCTATGGATTTTCAATATAATTACAATAAGTTTCCTTAAATTTCTAACTCCAATCCCATTTCAGGAAAAAATTAAACAAACTAATTGTGTTTTCATCTCTAAACCTGCCATGTACACCATTAATAATCTCTAACTAAAAGCTTAATTGTATTTATACAAAAGGACAAGGAGAGGCATAACACAATTCTCTCTCTGGATTAACCAATCACTTAGAAATAGATCTATAACCTCAAATAATAAAATACAATAAACCCCCAAACCTGACAAAACTAAGGGGAAAAAACTTATATATTAGTCTAGTCTTACCAGACATTGAATGTAGCTGAAATATGAATTAAAGAAAAAAAGGGGGAGATATATCAAATAAATGTACACAATGCTCACAACATTTGAGTACAATGTTTATTTTTTTTTCCCAAAAAATTATTAACAAATATATAGTCTTAAATTGGAAATAATTAATATTATATCCTTCAAACAAATACCAATGAGATAAAACTGTGTGTAATTTAGAAGTATTTCGTATACAACACCAAACTGAGGAAATTCGAGCTATGCAATATAGCAAAGAAACTAAAATTATTTCAAATACACTATTCACTTTCATTGAACATGACATTATGCAGCTCAAGTATTACTTGAACTTTCTATCGAAATACAAAAATTGCAAGTATCTCAGGAAATTCAAATCTTTTAGGTAAAATATTGAAAATACATTTTCGATATTGATCTCTAATGTAAACACGACGGACGACATAACTTACAGGGGTAATGTTGGTTCATAATCCGGAAGATACTGCTTTAAAACCGCTGGTAAACTGCTGCTTAAGTGGTCGGCTGTTTTCATTTTTAATTCATTCATATAGTTTATGCATTATTTTATCATTATTGTTGATAAATAGATAAACGGAGATCTTCTTCGGGGCACCTTGCCAGAGAAAAGTGTTTGTCACGTGCTCAACTATGGTAACTTCCTTTCACGTGACTCCTGTGAAATTAACATTCCCGCCAAATTTTAGATCAGGAGAAAACAATTACAGTTTGACACCTATTCTCCATTAAATCGTTCCACTTTCATTTGACCTTTGTCGCAAGTTTTTTTTTAAAAAAAATAATAGATAAACATATTTTCAAATCGTATTTATTTTAGATAAATAAAACCAACGTGTCAGGTTATAAACAAAAAATAATGACTGAAAATTAAAACATTTTGAAGTGATACCAATGGATACACCCCTAATTGATCAAATTCAACATGTCGCTCGATAATTGGTTGAAATTCAACGTTTCGCTTTTAAAAAATTAATGATTAAAATATCAATTTATTGCTTTTAAATCATTGCATATAATGTACACTTCTAGTCCTGAAATTTTCTTAACAATCGGTTGACTGGTGTGCAAGATAGAAACTATTGAAAAATGCCGCCGAAATTTAGTAAGCTACGTTACATCGCCTTATATAACTAACCTAAAGGTCGAACACTTTGCTCTATATCAACAGTTTTATGCTTAAAACTACGCTGAGTCACCATATTATTCATTTCATAAAGTTTGAAAATGATATCACGTATCAGTAGAAATTGATGTCCTTTGTAGACAGAGTCAGCATAATAGTTTTTTAAGGATGTAATCTACGTTCCTTTCGCTTTTATATTTTACGGCTTTATAAAGTTCGTTGACTTTTATAATCGCAAAAACATCAGGTTTAACTTTAAGAACCAAATGAAGGTAACAGATTGTTATTTTCATTACCCACATACAAGGGGGCATTTTCCACTCTTCATCGCAATTTATACAAAACAGGATAAATTGCATACGATCCCCAAGCAAAATTCAGTTAGAAGACACACTTCTTTAGTAGATTCACATAAAACATCTTCAGTCTATCTTTGTTAATCACTTGTGCCAGTGTAATATATGCATGATTTATAAATTCTAACTCTGTCTACGGACGTGTATGGGGGAGCGTTTCATAGTCATTTTTTGTTATTGTTTGAATACGTACATTATCAAAAAGAGAAAGAAACAATTGTATTGTATTGCAAATAATCACCATCATAACAGCACATAGAAACTTTCAACAACAATTTAGTCACCTGATTTAAACAACAACGTCGAAATAAAATCTACATGCCATGAGAAGGAGTGTAAAAGTTATGACACTTTCCCCGTCATGACTGCTTAAGTTTGCAGTGACTTGACGTCATATTCTATTATGGCGTCATATCTTGGTAGTTCAGAGAAGTAACAACGGCTGGTACACTGTGATTCCAAATAATTTTTAATTTCGTAATTTTTTTCTGTGAATTGGCCGGATTAATGGAGAAAAGGTGTAGAACTAAAATGTTATATCTATTATAAATGTTTAAAGGAAGAAGTAACGTACATTCATAAAACTGGTCACTTCGATTTAATAAACTTGACAATAACACTTTGGCGTTATTTTGTTTGTTTGTTTAAGGAATGAATTTAATAGCTACCCATTTTATACGGTATAAAGTGGGTTGGGGCAGTTTACGCTTTATAAACCGAGAAGCGGTTTATAAAAAAGCGTAAACTGTTCCAACCCACTTTATACCGTACTAGATTTTGACCCATGCGTGCACGGGTTGACATTGTTATGAATGCATCCATGTGCATATATCGGACATTTACAAAATAGATACATCGACACATTCATATTGTAAGGTATTTTTGAAATAAACAATGAATGTTAATATAATTCTTTTTTTTTTTTTTGTGTTTGTTTTGTTTTTGTTTTTTTTTTTAAATTGTTGCGTAACGACGTAGCGCAGAATGGGTTTGACCACCAGTTAGCTATAAATCAAGTCTTGAGTTCGAATCACGCCGGAGCTTACATAAATTTCACCTTTCCAAACAAATTTAATAAAAGAAATTATGGATCGATGTTCATTGAAAATATGACAACAGCAAAGAGTTGAGCATAATGTTCATATACATTAATGATTTCTTATTAGAGAAATTATACAATAACAAATATATATCTACTTAGTATATACTTTTGTCTTCTCTGATTTGAACACACTCTCAACCAACGGCTCATACATTCGTGTATAAGAGAGATACGAACGACAACTCTGCAAGGGAGATTGATTTGAGGGAAAAGACCACTAATTATTTTCCCATAGAACTCTATACAAACCTTTTGCCCTCTCAGTACTCTACTAATTCAATTTCAGACAAATCCTTGGCACCATTTGAAACTTTATTCTAAGCGCTTATAAAAAAGCCCGAAAAAAATATAGGGTCCCATGGCGTTTATAGGTCAAAATTGCAGTTGTTTACAACTTATAGCGATCGGCAGTAAATGTCACTCTGCCAAAAATATCAACCCCCACTCCTACAATCTCCCCTGGTATTTCTATATTTTCTGTAATATTCCTACATTCCATCATTTATTTCAAACATTAATATTTTTACTTTAAAATGAAAATAATTACATACCTGAATTCAGCCAATCAGGTAACACACACTATTCAGTACTCTATACTACTTTCCATAACAAACAAAACCACGTGTACATCCGGGGATTTGGTGCTCTCATTCCTTGAACACCGTGATTTAGCGTGAATGTAATGCGCACGCGCAAGATTGTAAAATCCAAAAAATCCAGATGATTTCCGGAATTTTTTGAGGAATTTTCGTTGTTTATTAATTAGCGAAGCTTAATTGAGAAAAAATAAAAACAAATTGGCAATCTTCAAGTACCAATGATGTTTAAAATATATCAAATAAAAGACGGTACTCTTCCGATTTATCGGTATTAAAGGCCAAAAATTCGAGTCTATTATTTTAATATAGTAGTATAGATAAATTGGGTAGCTATTAATTTCATTCCTTATAATTTAATTTTCATTCATTTAATGTAAGAAAAAAAAGACAATTGCCTTTCAAAAATGACTTCAAATTGTACAAAATTTAAATGTAACGTCAGGCGGATCGATACGTTTTTGACGCGCGTCATTGTGACGTAGGCAACCCAATTTATACGATTTAAAGTAAATTTTTTATCCAATCAAATGGCGCGTTACAATCAGAATTAAATTATATGTTGTTAAAAACGTCCCTTTCGAGAATTTTTTACTCATATGGAGATGCCAACACTTGCCAGTGGAGGGCTGCAAATATTAACCTATGATAGGCAATTAGAACCATTGAACAGAGAGGGATCTTTTTCGTGCCAGCACCTATACTGCGACACGGGACCTCGGTTTATACGGTCTCATCCGAAGGACTCTCCACGTCCCACGTACAGTGGATTTGAACCCTCGACGTACATGTAGGGATCTTCTCATTAATCATGTTAATACTCCGCGACTCTAGAGCAGACGCTCTAACCACTGTGAGACGCGGGCGACCTTTGGCGATATTAATCTTATTTCAGGTTATAAATTTAAAATAATATAGCACTACAGACACGAAGGGAGGCAATTTAATTTGGGGGGGGGGGGTTCCTTGACGAGCAAAAAGGTCAAACCCCCCCCCCCCCACTCTGTTACCTTGGGCCTGCACTAGGCATGGCACATACGAGTGCCGGTAGCTCAGTATAATATATTGAAGTTGTCAGTATATGGTATTGAAAAAGCCTAGTCTAAATTTAAAATCATCATGAGGAATGTTTGTATAAAGTATTAAAGGTCATACGTTAATTTTGATACCATTGTTTGCATGTAAATTCAGATTTTCAAATTTCTAAGAAGTTTTTAAGATCCGCATCTGATTAACACCACTTCTGAAGTTTCTCCTTCATACATGTAGCACTTAATATTTTAGTGAGAGGTATGAAGATGGGAGTTTTGTAGTAGTAGTAGTATCTTTATTGGCGTATACATTACATATATTGCCACAAAAGTATAATATAGTTTTATAATATAAACATTGGTCAACAGGTGTTACACAGGTGCTTTATTGCCTGACGCCACGTGCGTCAGGCAGTATAAGGATTAATTTTTTCAAGATCCGAAACTAAGCGATCATTCTTAATGAACTAGATTTTCTGGAAGCTGATTTACACTGGAATTTGTTACCTGCATTTAAACAAATACAGTTCGCAGAAGAAAGAATCATATTACTGATGCAAAATAATGTTGTGTTTAATTCCTTCAGTTTTTTTGCATGCACATGTTTATTCTTTGCGATTCTTTGTACGGGCATGTCCGTGTAACATTTTTTCTGCGTTTCTAAACTACTGGATCAGTCCATTTGCCTTCTAAGAAAGGGGTGACACAATCACTTCGCGCCAAATGTCACATGTAAATTATCTTCGCGCCTTTTTCTTGGATTGTTCTATTGAATGGGTGTGATAACTTCTATGGAAATAAATAACGTTTAATCTTTTAACCCGATTCTTAAGCTTTTTATTAACAGTAAATTTTATATCATTTTTAAAAGAACACATTGTATATGGGCAGGCAACACTAAAGCAATGGATTTGCTGATTATTCTTACTATTTATTCCATAAGTGAACTAGTCCAATCATAAACAAGCTCCCTCGAACTAGCAAAATGGGACATCCCTTCTTCATTTAGTCTGTTTCCCACCTTTTCTTTCAATATTACATTTATTAATAATGTACGTTACAAGGTTAGTTTTTTAATAAAGCTTAGAAAGTCAGCCAGTAGCATATTATTTCATGCTTTGTGATGAACAAGGATAGTGACAAGAGTAGGTCAGTACCCATAGAGGAATGGGCTTAACTCCCGTAAGGTTCTTAGCAAAGAATCGGAAAAACGAAGAAGACATCATGATCTGTACTAGTTTTCATTTCATATAAAAGCACGTTATTATAATTATGAGAAAGGTCCTGAAATCGATTGAAAAGAAAAACTAACAATTTTAAAAATGCACATAAAGATGTCTTTTTAAACTCATTTATAATACATGTACATGTATAAGGTAAGACCATCAGCGGGTGAGTTTCGTCCGGGGGGG